TCACCCATTTCTCTCCGTGTCTGGTTTACACGACACCGAGTTTAACCAGTCAATAGCCCCGATAAAATGGCCCTCGCAACAACCGATCAGTGGCGTTATACGGAAAGGGGCCCGTTGCTCCCGGGCAGGGAACGCTCGACCGCATCCGCAAGGGGCGGCCATGAGTAGTGCTGGCCCCACCATCCACGCTGTAACGTCCGATTATTCACGAGATGCGTGCACGCATCTGTCAGCGTCTGTCATAGCCCCCTCTACACTCACAAAGCCTGGCAGTTCGACGACGGAGCCATAGAGTGTCCGGTCGCAGATTTGGAGCGCGAGGATCGGGTAGCACAGAGCTAATTCTCGGGGAACCTAAATCTTAACGCACAGCTTTTGCAGCGGCGACGACCCGAAACGTGGTTTTCAAACCCGACGAGAAAAGAAGCGGTAGCGCGAGGAACGCGAGGAGAACGAGCGGACATTTTATCGCTCGGGAGAAGAGTGTTTCGGCGTCTCGCCGCAGCGGGGTGCCCGTCACGGGGCTCTCCTCTCATCCGTTGTCTGCGGCTCAACCTTTTCCATTTCGGCGGCCGCTTCTCGTGGCGATCTGCCAGGCTTTGTCACTAGAGAGGAGGTTATGCATCGGTCCATGCGCGATAAACGAGTGCATAAAAAAAGAATAATTGTGCAGCTCGCGGCCTCAGCGTCCCATCAAACATTCAGTTCTGTTATTTGTACTGCTTTCTTTCCTCCGCGAGCAAGTATGTTTCACTTTACGTGATGGCGAAGCCGAAGCTACATGCGAAAGCATGTTTCCCTGGACGATTCTCCCACTGCACGAACGCGCGTACTTGGCAGGGACACTGAAAGCTCGGAGTTCGCTCGCCTCTGCTACGTTGGCTCTTAGAATGGAACGGTGCAGAACTGGGAAAGCGTAATGACGCGTCTTCGAAACGCAATACTATTCTATTTCGCTCACCCGGAGAGCTGCTTAAAACTGGACAAGACCTAATCGACAAGCCTCAAGCACGAGCAGCGTGCATACAGAGGTATCTTTGCCAGGTAGCCTCTCGATACTTGTGAATGGAGCACGAGTGACTTGCCTGCCAAAAGTACGCCCTTCGCGTGCACGGTTTATCGCTCTAGTAGGACTTGAAGAGACTGGATCCTGGCAAAGTAGCGCCGTTGCCTTCCCTACCTGCTAGTCGGACAGAAACAGATACTAATATACAGACGACCAAAACCTCGTAAGGAGATTGGCTAATCTGTCTACGTTTCCATGGAAATCGCCATTAGGTCCCTTAAAATCTCCGAAGCTTCCAGAGGGTTCGTTCTAAGCCAGTCGCGCCAAGATCACCATGAAGCATCATTGCACACTGGGAGCGTTCTTGCCAATATAAGCGTCTTTGGCACATGCAATCAACTTATCAATCATGCCCACCTCAACGGATTTCGTACAATTACATTGTTCCTCTTGCGTATTTTAGAAACAGTAAGCGTATTTTTCAGTGCCTCCAAGCACCGACCCAGCATGTGGTGGCGGTATACGAAGATGTACGCTTGTTTCACCGGTGTGCGGATAGCAGAATCTCGGTTTCCAAGAAACGTCTCCATAAAGCTACCCGTCACCAGCGAATTTAGATCGGTTCACCCAGAACCGATGGCTCGAGGAGAAATTGCTCATTTCACGGGCCAAGATGGCGACGATACGGAAAGCTTGGCGCTACTTTCTTGCAGGATCCAGCGACTTTAGTGGGACTCGGACAGTGATATCACAGGGCAAAAGCTTTCTGATCCAGGCTTGGTGCTTCGCGGCAGTGGAGCCGCGAAGCACAGAGGGACCTTTACGTGCAATTCCTTCGGTGGATTTGGAGCGATCCAAAGGCGCTACACGCGCTTTTGGATCGCTCCACGCGCTTGCAGACCCGAGGAGATATCAACAAGAAAGAGCTCCAAAAGCGCACCAGATCCTACGAGAGTATTCCCCGTTCGTCGTCCTGCACATGCGGACAGCCTCGCTGGGGGTCTGCGCGAGCACGACGCAAGACGAGCATGCACTGCCACCTGCAGCCTCGGGCGTATATATACTAACGTTATGGCGGCGCACGCGTGCGCTGAGCGTGAAATGGATCACGTGCTTGCTCACACGAGCAGGGACATGGCGCGGGAGCCAGGTTTTTCTGTGCGATGTTCTCAAGATTGGCGTATAGTGTGATCAGTGCTGTCAGAGCTGAAGTGTCTGGATCGTGGGAAAGTAGGGACAAGTATGGTTGCCATTTTGGCTCGAGAAGTGAGCAATTTCTCTTCGACCCTTCCATTCTTGGTAAGCCAATCTGAATTCGCTGGTGACGCAGCTTTGTAGATACGTTTCTTGTATCATCGAGGGTTTGCTTGTCGGCACACCGGCGAAACAAGCGCACATCTTCGTGCCACCACCACATGCTGTGTCGGTGCTTAGAGGCATGAAAAATTAATTTTCTTTTCTCGAAATACGCATTAAGTACGATATAATTGTAAGAGAATCTTGGAGGTGGGCATGATCGATAAGTTGATTGGATACACAGTGCCAAAGATGCTTCTATTGGCGAGGAACGCTTTGAGTACGATGATGCTCCATGGTGATCTTGGTGCGACCGGCTTCGAACGATCCTCTCGAAGCTTCAAACACATGAACGGGCCGAAATGGCAATTTCCACTGGCAACAAAGGCCGATTAGCCAATCGCCTTGCCAGGTTTTGGCCGTCCGTAGGGTAGTATATATGTTTGTGTCCGGCTAGCAGAGAAGGAGAGCTCATGAGATGAACTCACAGCGCCCGGGACTATAGAGGACTCCAGAAATTACAACAGCCTTCGGGGCTTCGGGGTAGTTGGCTCGATTAAAAAAATAAGGAGTTGTTATCAAATTAGATTCGAAAAGTTATTAGCAGAAGCATGATGCCAAGGGGGGGGGGGGGGGGGGGCACACGTATTGTTTAGGTTGTGCCGAAGCTCGTACAGAAAAGGCGGTATGAAATAGAACATTTTTGCAAGTCACATGTTGACAGAACATCTGACCCAAAGCACAAGGGCGTAACAACCGACACCGCAGAATGTACGATTCGACTTGCGCCCCATCTGCACAAGCTGCTCGTGAGCCCAGGCGCAATAAAACGTCTGCACTTGTGCGGGAGGTTTTCAGGACTAATCCAACAAAGGTCAAACTTTCCAAAGGGGCTTATCAATACAACCCTTCGTTCACCCTTCAACTGACACTGCAGCCAAAGATCAAGCCCGAGAGCCCGCGCACCCTGGTTCTAGCTCGAGCGCTCGTTATGCAGTAGAACGCTTAAAAGTCCTGCTCCCGTGCTTGCGGTATTGACTACAGTCTTAGTTGCGGGGTGAGTGGGGTAGAAATGACACCATTCGAACGCCCGCCGACGCAAAACAGTCTGGAATGAAACAAAAATTTGCTTTCGCGTAAACGAAACATAAGGGTTAAGTTGCGCCGGAAACAACATCAAGAGCCGATGTTTGGCTAAACATAAGAGCTTCTATACAGGGTTCAAGAAGCAGCTGTATCTCTCAGCGTCTCCTTTTGACCCATTCTCCTTCAGACCTTCTCGTAACCTTTCGCAAAACTAATCCAACGATATTCTTCGCATTTTGGGACATTCGGAAACTGGCGAGGTACGACCGAATATGTTCGAAATGCTCGCGAGAGCCTCGTCTATGCCTGGTGAGATCAGTGAGCGTGAACATGTAGAAATGGAATGCTCCCGACGGGCCTCCGATCTTCCTGTGTCCCACCTCCGCCACATTATGGGGCGCCCTGACTCCGCGATGGCTGCACCACTCTTCCGGGTCTCATCAGAGGAAACGACACCTCGCTCGGGAATACCAAAATGCATGCCCTTCTATCGCAGAATTACCAGGAGCGAGGTTGTTCCGTAGAACCACATCCGTGTGTATTTCGCACACTGCCACGAGGCGGATTTGTTTCTTTCCGTTTTGTTCGTTCGTACTGCTTGGACATACTTTGAAAACTTCTTACGACTGCTTCCTATGTTCGTCAACATTAGGCGATGGAACATGCGAACACTCTTTTTACAGTTCAATACGAAATCTTTCCTGTTGTATATATTTCAGAGACGCTGCCCAGGCTTCGAGGCGGCGTGAGCGGATGATACGACGTTCTCGCTTTGATTGTTTCGTGGAGCAGCGGCTGTGGCGCGCCCCGGCCACATGTGCGGACTCTGCTTGTGCAGCGCACGCGTGCATTGTTGCTCTCCGAGGCAGCTTGTACAACGTGGCGCCACGCAAACACCCTCCAAGTAGCGCGTCAGCAGTGAAATGTCCATGCCTGCCATATATATATGCACGAAGGGTCTAGTGTTGCAAATATACCCTTTTCCTGGACGAAAAGGACCAGGCTCGCCGGGCATTCACCGCGTATGAATATAGTGTCTATATATTATCCCTTCGAGAGTCTGGAACGACCGACCTTATAACAAAGGCAATGGCGAAAAAAAAAAATAATAACACGGGACAAAAACAATAGCATCGGACCATTAAACACGAGGACCGTTTTTTGGTCGACCTGATTCCTCCGCGTGCCAGTGTACTGGTACAGGAAGGGGCAAAGGTTCCCAGAGAGACAAACACAATAAAAGCACTTCCGAAGTGATGTTCCGTAACCACTTAAATGGAACGATTCGGCACAACTAAGCACTCGGAGCGGCCAGCGCATTTGTGCAGCCGGTCGCAACGCGAGGGTGAGGGCCAGCAGTCGGCGGCGTCTTTGCCACGTGCGCAGGCGCCTGATGCCAACCGTCGGGTCCACGGACGACCAGAAGGAGCGCGAGGCCCGCGGCCAACACGAGGCGGCCGTGCGGTGGCACGCTTCGGCAACCAGGGACCGTTATGCAAATGAGTTCCGCCGGTCGGCGAGCCTCCCGACGAGCGTTCTGCGGCCCGCGGGAGAGATCGCTTCATGCGGGACTCTGTAGCGGCCGAGGGCCTTGGAGGGAAGGGCCACGCACCTTGTTGTTGGCGACGTCCACGACCAGCCAGGAGAAGACGACGGTGTCCTGTTCGTCGCTGCCCAGCGCGTCTCCTTGCTGACCAGCCGTGACCAGATGGACGACCACCACGAACCGCGTGGCAGCCATGTTGATGACCAGGCACCACCACGAGCGAAGAAGGAACTCCGAGAGCGATCAGAGCCCCGTGCTCGGAGTCATGCCCAGGACCGCCCCCGATGGAGAGATGCACGCTATTCAGCTCGTCTGCCAGGCGCGACGGGCTTCCATGGGTCGAGAGGAACGGTGCCGCCCGGGGACCGAGAAGCACGAAGACGAGGACGGAGCTACTGGTCACCGATGAATGAGCCGTGCACACGTTCGAAGCTCGACGTCGACGCCAGCATTGTAGATGGGCTCTTGCTTGCACCGGCCGCGGGCGTTTCACCCGCCGAGAGCGTCTCGGACGCGATGCGAGCAACCGAGTAGGCAGTAGGTGATTATAAATTAAGGCTCTTGGATGTTTTCTGTTAGTGAACGCCGCCTAGATTCGTGTCGCTTTTTCCTCTTGGCAGTTTTGGATCACGGCTGCTGCAGCGGCCGGCGCCGAATTGATGTCCCGTGAGAAGCAAAAAGAAGAAGCGTGCGGACAGCCTTACGTGAGCATTAGAATCGACTCTCGAGCGCTTGACGGACGATAGCGAGTTTGGAAGCAGCGGAGAATAGGAGACCCGATTTGGTGTCTCGGGGGAGGTAGGTTCCGAGTCGGAGCGGTGCTTTTTGAGATACGACGGCGGACGAGGAAGTGAGAGGGAACCGAAGTACGAGAGTCGGAAAGAGAAAGAAGCCCCCCTATCGAAAAGCCAAGACGAAAAACACCCGGGCCCCCAAAAAATGCCAACAAACCGCTACCACACCACCACCACCACCACAAAACCAAGGGAGGACACCGGCCGCACCGCTGTTACCGGACCGACTCTGCCGGTTTCCCCGTGGCCGCGGGGCGCTGCGCTGGCGCTGCCGTCGATGCCCGTCCCCCCTCCCCTCTTTGTAGCACAGGTGAACGCGCAGAAGAGCGCCGGCTCGGAGAGCGAGCGGCGGCGAGGTTCAGTCGGGACCCGCCATTGGCGCAGAGCGCTACAGGTGTTCCCCCTTCTTCTCCCCCTCGCAGCTGCTGACGTCGTCGCGGCGGCAGGGGCAACAGGTGGAACGACGACTGCACTCCTCGCGCTGCACTCCTCGCGGCGGGGGGGGAGGGAGCGAATCCAAAATGGCGGAGAGAGAAAAAGCGGAGCAGACGACGCTTTCTTTGCTTCGTCGTCCCTGCCCCCTGCCGCACTTGATTCCGGCAGTCTCTCACCCCCCGGATTTTTATTTCCTCGTGGGGAAAGGGAGGTCCCTCGCTGCAACATTGCGCCCGCTTTGCCTGGCTCGCGGTCTTTTACTTCCTCGCAGGTTCTCGCCTTGCTTCGTCTGCTTCGAGCCGCGTTTCGGACTCCTTCTTCGCCACACCCTCCCTCCACACAACAGGCTCGCCTAGAGCCACTAAATGAGCTGCGCTTAGCGTATTGGCACTCCGTTCTCCGACATTGTTGTGGGCGCCGCCATTTCGGCTTGTATGCAGAGCAGACGACACTGCCCGATCGTCATGATTCAAAAGTGCGTCTTCCTCAGCATTAGATTCGGGTGTTAGGAAGCTCGCGTAATATTGCTTTGCCTTGTCGCGAACTGCTTTTGACTTGACTTGACTTGACTTGACTTGACTTGCTTAAACATTTGTGGAGGGCGGAAAAGCGTTTCCTGTGATTTCAGATGAAGCATCGGATAACTGGCAACCATGATTTTAAGACACAATATAGCCAAGTGTCGGCACTCTGAAGCGTAGCTTATGTAGTGTCACTAGGCTCGCCCAACGAGGCCGGCCCAAAGAAAATCCCCCGTGTCTCCTGGCGTTGGTCAATAAAGCAATGGCGCAAATGGAACTGCCATGGGGATCATCTCAGGAGTGTCCTTGCTGCACACACGCCCGTCCTGCTCGATTTCTCGACGAGTTTCCAGGAAAGCGGGAAGTTGCGCGCTCTGAGTGCCTTCGGAGAATACGTTTTTCTCGTGCATTGTTTGGGAAAACGTTTTCGTCGCAGTCCTCAATGAATCCGTCGTTCTACACTCGAAGAAATGCCTGCTCGTCTACTTCCCCTCAAAACACTCCAAGAGCCAATCTCTGCGATCTAGGAAATCAGCTCAGCGAATGATGAGGCGGAACTTTTGTTTAGACCTCATAATGAAGTCTGCGCTGTGGCATTACGCAATACAAGCATGATGCTTTGGATTGCCTAATGCCACAGTGCAGACTTCATTTTAAGCTCTACACGGACGTTCTGCCTTGTCATTCGTGGAGCTGATTTCCTAGATCGCAATGATTGGCTCTTTGAGTGTTTTGCGGGTAAGTAGACGAGCAGGCATTTTTTTATGTTTTTTTTTTCTTTTTTTTCTTTTTGCGTGTATTTCTAAAAAAAATTGTTTCCATCCCACGAGCATTTTTTTTTTTTTTTCTCTTCGAAACGACATGTAGGAGTAGGGTTAGAGCAGTGGTTCTCAACCTCGGATGTTTTCCGGACATCTTGTGGATCGGCGGAGATGATAGAGGACCCCGTTCGTGGTGAGAGGAAGGGAAATGCACAGGTTTATTATGATAATGATTTAGAAAAAAATGTATATAACTATATAATGTGCGTAGTCACTATATAATCATATAATGTGCGTAAGGACTATATAACTATATAATGTCTACACTCTAAAAGAAGTGAGTGAGTCTACTTTCCCTCACAATTCTTGGAGAGCCAATCAGCGCAACTTACGGAGGCAGCTCAGCGAATGACAATAACGAAACGTATGTTCAGACCAAAAAAACGCAATCTGCGTTGTGAAACTAAGCAATGCAAGCGTGACATTTTGCATTGCTTATTGTCACAAAGCAGTCTGCGTTTTTTGCTCTGAACATATGGTTCGGCATCGCCATTCGCTGAGCTGCCTCCGTAAGTGGCGCTGATTGGCTCTCCGAGCGTTGTGCGGGAAAGTAGACTAACGGGCTTTTCTTTAGAGTATAATGACGTAGACTTGGGCTCATTGACATGCACACGAGAAAACTCACTCGAAAATTGAAACGTTTCTTCTCAATTTGATAAAAAAAAAAAAAAAAGACAACTTTTGTTGCCGGGCTTGATAAGCCACCATGTGCGCTCTGGCCGAGTCCAACCGCGACCGCGTCAACCTCTGGCGCAGCACCATCAGGTCCAGCCCATGACGTCGTCGTCAGTAAGCGGCAAACAGCTCATCGTCACAGATGCGTACTCCTCGGCCTCATCGCGTGCTAACTTGGCGCACGTTCGGTGTCAGGACGTTCGGAGTCATGACGTTTGAGGCTATTGGCAGCACCCAGTGAACCCCGAACGCACTCAGGGACGAGCCCAAGCTCCGAGTGGTCGCGTGGACGACTATCGCCGCCCCGGGAAGCCGGAGGAAACTAGACACGCGCGACAGGACCGCCACACGGCGGAAAGTAGACACGCTCGACGGTACCGCCACCCCGGGAAAGCGGAAGGAAAGGAAACTAGGCACCCACTGAACCCACTGAGTGCGCCTGGCCACTTTCCGAGCGACGCGTCGCACATCCAGCTGGACACGAGGGGAGCGAAATCCACCCGAGGAAAAGAGAAAAAAAGCGACCGACCGGCGAGCACGCCGCGTGGCCGAGTGGACTCGGAAAAGAAAAAAAACCCGTCGGACCGAGGTCTCCCCGAACAAGTTGGGCCCTCTCCCGGGGGGCCCCTCGCCACTCTCTCCAGATTTGAGGCTGCGAGGAGCACAGGTCTCGCGCGGAAGTCGTGCGTGCACGGCGACGCGCGCTGCACCCCCTCCCTCGTGGACCTCCCAGTTGCAACTTTCCGGTCCGACAAACCTCCCAGTTGTCCTCGCCTGTCAAAACGTTCTTCCCTTTGACCATGCCTAACTACACTCTAAAGGACCGTTCACACACGTGCAACTGAGTGCGACCGAGAGAGAAAAGAACGGTTTTTAAGCCTCTTGCGTGGTCTTACGACGAGCTCCGCAGCAGTGCATCCGGTCCTATAAGACGTCGCAAGAGGCTTAAAACCCTGTCTTGTCTCTCTCGGTTGTACTCGGTTGCAAGTGTGTGAACGGGCCTTAAGAAATGCCTTCGCGTCCACTTACCCGCAAAACACTGGAAGAACCCATCTCTGCGATCTAGGAGATCAGCTCAGCGAATGATGAGGGTAATGCCACAGCGCAGACTTCATTTTTAGCTCTAAACAGATGTTCCGCCTTCTCGTTCGCTGAGCTGATTTTCTAGATAGCGGAGATCAGCTCCTCGGGTGTTTTGCGGGTAAGTTGGCGCGCAGGCATTTCTTAGAGTGTATGCACGTCCATTAGGCGCTGCAGAATGACAAATTCTGAGTTTAGCGCCATCTGGTATATGCAAACTTTGCGATGCGATTCATTTGATAACTTGGCCGACATGTGAAGGTACTTGTCCGTTTTACTTCGTAGAAAATCTGCCACGAATAAAATGGAAACACGATGGCAAAAGAAACAGTAAAAAAAAAAACAAAAAAAACGTTAGAGGTATTGTGTGTGGGTCGACGAGCCGCTATAAAATATGGTGAAATTTTACACTTTAAGTCTGCTGGAGACGTTGCAGCTGCGTTTGTTAAAGCTGCTGCACCAAGATAACCTTATTTGATTTGCCTATTTCGTTCGCTAGCTGAGAATAAAAGTTCATCGCTCTAGGTTTTGATTGTTCCGACGATAAAATTGTTTACATGAGAGTATCGATGTGCAAGGGGCAAAAAGCGACAGTGTTCGTCATCCACAGGCGTAAACTGATTTTTGGCAAGTTCAATGTTTGCTCCTTAGCTGTTCTTTTTTTTTCTTTTTCTAGGATGGTCTAGGCGTATAAAAGAAAAAAACAGTCACGGCTTTGTGATACGAAAATAACGTCAAGAATGCACTGGAAAGTAGGGGTGTCACGAACTTTTGTCGAACCGGACTTTTAGGTAGAACATTGGGGTTTCACTGGGTCGAACCTGTCGGCGAACCTTCGACCTTTTAACCAGATTCGACCGGTTCGACTTTGTGGACAGTGTGGTCAGACCTTGATACAAGCATGTCTAGGTTTGGAGAATTTATTTTTTATGCAAAGGGTTATTTTAATCTTATGAACAGTTGCAATTAAAAGAAACCAATTCTAATCACTGAAAAAGTAATAACTTAATTTTTTGTACTGCATTAACTGAAATAACCAGTCAGTGCTGACCTTAATTCATCTCTTAGCCATCACCATCCAATCCGAAACCAACTGGTCAGCCTGGAGCGCATGCGCATAGCAGTTGAACCTGAGTCGAACCTCTGTCGAACTTTTCGCAAGAAGTTCGAAAGTTCGAACCTGGTCGACCTCGAACCTCGACCGGTTCACGACACCCCGACTGGAAAGTGTGCATCTCATCGTTGTGGAGCCCAGGTATATTCTCTCGTGATCGAGCAAGGTTTCCGCTTTTGCAAGTTCGGTATGACGAAATAGTAATCCCTATCAATATGTGTTCGCCTTTCCCAACGGGGCAAGGATGCCCGACGAGTGAGCTATCTTATTCACCTGTTTAAGCATTAAATATTTTGACATGTGTGCGGCGTTCAATTATTATATTTCTAGACGATATCATGTATACGGTTTTCTCTTTATTTGAATACTTTTTGTCATCGACGGAATTTTACGCGATTATTATTCACGCGTGCCATGAGTCGAGCATTGCACACGTCACATTATTTTGTGGCGAAAAATTTTGCCTCCTAGAAATTCGTGCACTAAATGAGCGATGACAGTCTTTATATTTTTGGGAGAAAAACGGGAAAACTCTGCGCTTGCTTGTTCGTGCTAGCAGTGCTGCGCAGGGTACAAGCAATTCAATTGGAAGATCATTTTCGGTCATGAAACCGTGCAATTCAACGTGCAAGTTAACTATATTCAGGCAATTATTAAAAAAAAATACGCAATACATCATTTTCCATACGCGGAGTCCCGTTTTGTTTTATAACTTGATATGCCGTTGAAGAGAAAACCATTCGATGCAGATAATAAGAGGTTTGGTTCTTCAATTCAAAATGAAAGTGTGCTGCCACTGCTGGGATAAAATCGTTC